AAGCTGCCACAAGGCGTGGGTGGCCCCGACGGGCGAGCCCTGGAGGTTTTGTGGGAAGCTGTGGTAGCGATTGCACTTGAAAATTTGCCTCCAAAGGAAGGGCAGGCGCTGGTGGGAGCAGGAGCGGTGGCGCCGAGGTGACGTTGGGGTCTCGGGGGAAGATCTCTCGGCCTGCTCAGACTCTCTGCTGGCCAACCCTGACAAGAGACTCCCCAGCTCTTAGCAGGGCCCTTTGCTAACACCACCTCTGAGCTTTCCTCCGCTTCGCACGCCGGCTCTTGCTCTGTGCTGCCACGCCGGCGTTCGCAAGTGACGTTTCAGATTGTGTCCCTCAGGTCAGATTTTTCTCTCTTGGGTTTCCTCCCCCCTCTTACACTCTGTCCGTGGCTCCTTCCCCTGTCCCCAGTGTCTGCCTGCAGCACCGGCGCCCGGAGCAGCTCTTGCTGCTTTGGAGGAAGGCGTCGCAGTCTCTTTAACAAAATCCAAAAATGTGAAGTTTGTGATCCTTGAGATTTCGGTGACGAGTGCCGAGGGATGTGTCTGGTATCCCTCGTGCCTGGGAGATGACAGGCAGGTAAAACCGCTCCGTTTTAACCCATCTGGGTTGGGCTCTTCCCCCCAAGCCCAGTGTGAGGTTATAAAACTCCCCTTGCTTTGGGTGCGCCATGGCCCAAACTCTTACTGGGTTGGGGTGTTTTTTTTGCCTCAAGCAGTTACCAAACAACATCGCTGGCTGTTATCCCTCGTTGACAACTAGTTTGCTTTTTTTGGTAGCTTTTTAATCCAGAATACTTGGTGGAAGGAAAAAAAAAAACCATTTCCAGTTCTGGGGGATAATTGAAGCAAGGAAAAATGGGCAATTCTACAAGGGGATGGGGTTTTTTTAAAGCGATATCCTGTGAATCTGTAGCACCGCTTGTTACTGGAGCGGTTTTGCTTCCCCTGCCTTGCTTGGAAGGTGAGAAAGGAGCTGGGGGAGTAGCTGATATGTCTGAGGCTCTGAGATGTTCTGCTCTCCAAGTAAGTTTCTTTTAGAGCTGTTTTTCAAGCAATTTCTTGCTCTGGTTGATCGCCGTAGCCTCTCGTGGCAAATCCCTGCCTCTGCTTACACCCTTGTGTTTTAGCAGCAAGTCCTTAAACCCTTTAGCCCAAGTCCTTCTCCTCCTGGGTCCCGATCGCTCCCACCCAGATGCAGGTGAGGTTTCTTTTGGAGCGCTCCAGCACGGTAGCGGAGGAGAAACCTTGAGAAAAGTCCGGGTGGCCTTTTGATCTCGGGGGCACGTGGAAGCG